ACCCCGAGCCCGGCAAGGTGACAGACAACTTGTCCGTCATCCACCCATCTCTCTTATCAGCACCATGGCCGATCTCACCGTTCCCGAGAAGCAGTTTGACGAGGCGTACTTTGCCAGCAATGCGTGCGTCAAGCGCGACGTGGTGGACTTTCTGCAAAAGTACGTCAAGAACTCGCTCCTCAAGGAGCACAACATGAACGGCGCGGCCAAGTCGGTGGCCAAGAACCGCAAGAAGCCGCAGCTGGAGGAGGTGTACAACAAGGTCTACGCTGAGGCGCCTGCCTGGTGGAAGACGTCCGAGGATGTCGAGGCCGAGGCTGCTGAGGCCGCCGCAGAGGCTGCCGCCGCCGCAGAGGCCGAGATCGCTCGCAAGGCCAAGGCCAAGGCCGCCGCAGAGGCCCGCCAGGCCAAGCTCGACGCACTCAAGGCCGAGCGCATGGCTGGCAGCAATGCGGCCAAGGGCAATGCGGACAGAGGCGGCAGTGGTGCCGGTCGGATTCGTGGCCGCCAGGGCGGAAAGGTCAAGCCGCTCAAGCAGAAGAAGGCCCGCGCCAAGGTCATGACCGAGGAGGACGAGGAGTTCCAGCGCAAGCGCCGTGAGGACGCTGCCCGCCTCAAGGCCGCCCGTGCTAAGGCCAAGAAGTAACTTTGCTGCTCTCTCGCCGATGGCCTTCCTCGCGACCCGCTCTGTCTTGCCATCATCGCCTTGCGCCTTTGATCCGGCTCGAGGACTCGAACTCTGGCGCGCAGAAGGCACGGACACTCTGACCCTATCGCCCTTTGCCCCTCCATTTGATCCCCTCGCACCGGTCGTGGTCCTTACTCCCGCAATGAATCCAAAGCTAGCTTATCCGCCTCGCGCCCCTCCCCGCCCTTTTGGGCCTCAGCTGGCCGTACACGGCTCGAACGCCTTCGATTGGAAGCGGCTCCTCCACAGACAGGCCTCGGCTCACCTCTCGCTCGCTTGCCATGACGACTGTATCTTGCACTATGGGAGCATCAGCTGTCGACGACGAGCCATGGGCATCCAACGCACCCCATACGAGTGGTGGTCCTACCATTGCCGAGCCGGTCGAGGCCGTGCCAGGCCTGTTCTTCATCGCCGACTTTGTGGCGCCTGCCGAGTCGGACGCCTTGCTAGACTTTCTGGCGGCATGCGACAGATGGAAGAGCATGGGAACCGGTCGGCGAGTCCTACACTTTGGCCACATGTTTGACTATGCCACAGAGAGTGTTGTTCCCATTCCGGATCCAGATTGTCCGGACGATGTGTTTATGCCGGCAGCGCTTGCGCCGGTTGTGGCGAGCATCAACGCACTGGTCACGCCTGACGGCTCGCCACTACCGGGCGGTCCGCAGGCGTATGATCAGGTCATTGTCAACGGGTACGAAAAGAGCCAGGGCATCCACCCACACATCGATCGGACGCATTGCTTTGGCCCGGTCATCGCCGCGCTCTCGCTCGGCGACGATGCCGTGCTTACCTTTCTCCGCGACACCCAGGATGGGCGGGTTGTGTACGACGTCCCTGTCCCGGCCCGGTCGCTCTACATCATGACTGGCGACGCGCGGTACGCGTGGCGCCACGGGCTCGATGCCAGGACCAACGCCGCGGTGCGGACAGGTGTCGAGCGGGTCTCGATCACGTGGCGGACTGTTGTCGACAGCGAGACTGCGGCGGCAGTGACGCCGTCCGCCAACTCGCTGCCGGGCGTCATCATCGATGCTCTTCGCCCCGAGACAGACCTTGTTATTGAGGGCGAGCTCGTCGGCCGCGTCGTTGGCCGCCGCGGAGCGACTGTACGCGCGCTCTCCGGCCGCCTCGGCTCACAGTTGGTCGTCGGCACGCTCGCCGGCGATCCCTCGGTCGGGTTGGTCCGCATCCTCGACCGAGGCACCACCTCGCTCGAGGCCCTGCAGACCGAGCTCGACGCCATCCTTGACCCGTTCCGCTCGAGCGGCGCCGCCGCCGAAGACTAGCCAGCAGCCCGAGCCGACGACCACGTCGTTGACCAGCATGGTCCACGATGCATGCTCAGGAGGGGCAAGGCGGGGCGGGCGAGGCCGAAGTGCTGGATGCGCCAGCCGGCTCCCCGCTGCTGCGCTCTGGATCTCACTCAATGAAAGTGCATACCACAAGTCTGCGCTGTGGTCGGCGAGCCAGAGGTGAGAGCCGGCGAGCTGGAGCCGCGCAAGCGGCGGCGCGTCCGAAGAACCGACGATCCACCAGCACCAGGTGGCACATTCGACGTCAAGGAGGTAAAGGACACGGCCGAGGCCGAGCCAGAGCTTCGTGGCAGTAGTGAGCGAGTCGCCATCCACCACCCACCGCCACTCGCGTGGATCGCCGAGGACAGATGAGAGGTCGGGGGCGGCGAGAAAGTGGGCGCGTGGCAGAACCAGCCGGCGCCCGCGCGCCTCGAGCGCCCACTCGGGCGGCATGGGCTGAAGTGCGCACATGGTTGTCGGTCCGATCACCCGCCTCATCAGCGAGGGCGTGTCCAGGCAGACAACAGACGAAGCTCGCTTGGCGTCGAGCGCGGTTATGGCCAGCAGGAGAGTGTCGGCCTGGGTTACGGCCAGGCCCTTGGCCAGCACACCCTCGCCACGCCACACATGACGCATTCCGCCGCTCTGCATGCACGCCACAGAAACATCGGACCATCCACTTGTCGAGTGCTGGGTGTAGACGACGTGGAGGCCACGGCAGCCGCCGGAGATAAAGCGGGCGACGACCGCCGGGAGGTGCATTGACCGCGATGGGAGCGAAGGCCGGCGCTCGGGCGTCGGCATGCAGACAAAGACCCACTCGCCGTCGGGCGCCAGCTCGTAGCACACAACCGCGCCGTCCCACAGGCCGATGACCAGGCTTAGAGGACCACCAGGCGCAGCCGCCATGTCCACCGACGTCGCCCGCTCGCCGTGGGCGATCCGGAAAGTCGACATGACCTCGCACTCCCCCAAGTGCTGACATCAAAGGCAGCAACATTGCCGCCCATCGAGACGGAGACCAAACACGAGGCGTCGGGCGAGAAGCCGACAGCCACCATAGAGTACAGGTCGTCGACGACAAGAACGGCGGTGACCTCCCCGTCAGCCTCGAGCAGATGCAGCAGCAGGCCACAAGCGCCGGCCACAGCTACCATAACCTTTCCTGAGCCATCAGGCAGATGAATTGCGGCGAGTGCAACCGGCACCATATGCAGCTCGAGCTCGATGAGCCTGCCCTCGCCCAGGAAGGAGTAAACGAGCCGCGGGGCGGCGCCTGGCACGACGGCACCCGCGGCGAGAAAGGGACCGCCATGGTCGGGAGCCAGGCCCGCCACTGCTGCCACCACCACATGCTTGTCGCACAACGCCTCGTCGACCACAACCGAGCCAGTCTGCGGAGCCTCTCCGCCTTGGACCACCCACGCCAGCTTGCCTTCGCCCACCACCGCCACCGCGCCCGTCCCCCTCCCGCCCACCAGCGCATTGCACACACGGACAGACGGCGGCACAGGCACAGCCAGACCGTCCATCCTCGTCTCCTTGCCACACGCCTCGATCTTGTCGCCGTCGATCACCACACCGATCGCTACGTCGAGAGCCGACGCCGATCACCGCGTTGAGAGCCGAGTGGTGGTGGCTGTACTGCCTTGAGCTACAGATGACCAGCAGCCCAGCCTCATCGACGACCAGCAGCCCAGCCTCATCGACGACCAGCCCAGCCTCATCGATGACCAGCAGCCCAGCCTCATCGACGACCAGCCCAGCCTCATCGATGACCAGCAGCCCAGCCTCATCGACGACCAGCAGCCCAGCCTCATCGACGACCAGCAGCCCAGCCTCATCGATGACCAGCAGCCCAGCCTCATCGATGACCAGCAGCCCAGCCTATCAATCACATCGCCACCTACCGTCGTCGGCAGCCAGATGGAATGCCAAGATCAGCCGCACCGCCCTGCCCGCCCGCCATTGGATCGTCCGCCAGCACATCGACCGATTGCAGTTCACCGTCTTGGGCACTCCAGCCGCCAGACAGCCACCGCCACCACCACCACCACCACCACACCCGTCTGGAGCACACCCTCCCGGCACTCATGGACTACTATGCTGTGCTCGGTGTGGCCCGGGATGCCACCGACGCAGAGCTGAAGAAGGCGTATGTTCCCCCCTCCCCCCCTCCCCCTCCCCCCTTCCCCTTCCCTCCCGCCACCCAACACGGCCGTTGCCCCCCCCCCCCCCCCCCTCTCCCCCCCCCTCCCGCACTCACCGCCACCTGCTTGTTACGACAGATACCGCAAGGCGGCCATCAAGTGGCACCCGAGGAAGAATGCCGAGAGCGAGGAGGAGGCCGAGGTTGCGTTTGCAGAGGCAGCGGAAGCGTATGAAGTCCTTTCTATGCCAGTCCTCCGTGCCGTCTTTGACCAGTATGGCGAGACTGGGCTCAAGGAGGGCATTCCTGACGGCGGTGGTGACATTCCTGGCTTTGATGGCTACACCTTTTCTGGTGATCCTTATGCTGTCTTTACAAAGATGTTTGGTGGTGAAGCGCCCTTTGCTCTCTTTGCCGATCCGCTCAACGGCCCGGCAAAGTCGTCGGTCTTTGGCGCTGGTGCCGTTGCCCGCTCGCCCGTCAAGCCCGCCACCGACCTCCACACCCTGCGTCTGACGCTGGAGCAGCTGTATGCTGGATGCACCAAGAAGATCAAGATCACTCGCCGGGTGCTCAATAGCGACGGACAGACAACCCGCGAGCAGGCGACTGTCCTGACCGTGCCGATCAAGCCGGGCTTCAAGGCCGGCACGCGCATTACCTTTGCGGGCCAAGGCGACCAGGGCCCCGGCATGGAACCGGGCGACGTTGTCTTTGTTGTTGCCGAGAAGCCGCACAAGGTCTTTGCCCGCAACGGCAACGACCTGGTCTACACCGCCACCGTCTCGCTCCTCCACGCACTCACCGGCTTCACCGTCGAGCTCACCACACTCGACAACCGCAGACTCGCCATCCCCATCAACGACGTCGTCGAGCCGGGATTCTCTAAGAAGGTCCACGGCGAAGGCATGCCTCTGCCTGGAACTCCGGGCGCCAGAGGTGACTTGTACATCAAGTTTACCGTTGTCTTCCCGAACAACCTCAACGGCAAGCAGAAGAACCACATCCGCGCCGCCCTCGGCCCGCCGCCCAAGAGCCAACCGGCCAAGCTCCCAGGAAAGAGCTCGTCGTGATCGCCGTAAACATGCCTTACTCTTGCCTGTGCAGCTAGTGGTGCAGGTTGGGCGGCTGGAGCATATCTGATCGACCCCGCCTACGTTGGCCCTTGCGCCGAACCCGCCGCGAGTGCCGCAGCCGCCGGTACTGGTGGTACTCTGCCGACTTGCCGAACCCGAGCTGGGCCTGGTAGGTTTCGGGCGCGTACCGGCGCGGATGCTCAGCCTTATCAGCGAGGAGCTCGTCAAACTTGGCCGGGCACGCTCTCTGCACCACCTTGGCCATGTGCCGATGCAGGGACGGCAGATCAAGGTCGTAAAGGAACTCGTGCCGGAGCAGGTCGCCTGGCGTCGGCCGCCGCTGCGGATCGCGCTCCAACATAAGGCTAACAAAGGCACGACAGGCTGGCGAGAACCGGGCTGCAGGCAGGCGCGGCGTGCCGGACTCTAAATAGTCGAGATGGCCAAAGGCATCAAGCGACGGCGGCGGAATGCCTCGAGTCCGTGGCCCATTGCGGGTCTCGACCTCGTCGACGTCCTCTAGCGGGTACGGATAGCGCCCCACCGCAAGCTCAACGAGCGTGATGCCCAGCGCCCAGATGTCTGCGGCGTGCGGATGGTCTGCGGCGCCGTCGCCGGCGCCAATCGACTCGGGCGCGACGTAGTTGAGCGTTCCGACGGCGGCGGCGGCCCCAGTCTCGTCCGACAAGTGGACCGAGATTCCGAGGTCCGAGACCTTGACCTCGCCGTTGAAGCCACAGAGGATGTTGTCGGGCTTGATGTCACGGTGCATGATGTCGCGCGACTGCAGGTAGTGCAGGGCCTCGAGGACAGACTTGGCCACCAGCTTGATGGCCTTCTGGTCCATGGCACCGCCGGCAAGGTACACGTCACGGAGCGAGCCGGCGGTCATGTACTCCATGCAAAAGGTGACCATTCCGTCGACAAAGTACGCGCCGAGAAACTTGACAATGAACGGCGACTGGCAGCGGAACATGAAGCGGAGCTCGCGTGCAATGCCGGTGCGGAACTCGGGGTCGGGCTTGAGCGGCAGGTGCTTGATGGCAAGGAGCCGATTGGTGACCCGGTCGACAACCTTGGAGACGACGCCAAACGAGCCCTCGCCGAGCTTGACCCCGAGCTCCTCGATGTCGTCGCCAGCAATGCCCCACGAGTACACAGCCCGCGCCCGCTGCTCGAGCAGGGTTAACAGCTCGCGCGGCGTGCCTGGCGAGACAAGCGCAAACGACGACTCGTCCTTGCCTTCCACAATCACGCCGTGCTTGTGGTAGAGGATACCGTTGACCGGATCGTAGACCCCGTTGAGCCGCCGCGACGACTTGGTGCCGACAGTGACTCCAAAGTGCGCGTACGGGTTGTAGACGCTGCTCTCTCCCGAGGTCTTGTAAGAGCCCGATCCCGATCGAAGCTGCGAGCTCCAAGCTGATGACGGCTCCGAGTACTCCGAGTCGTAGTCCGAGCCCACACCCGACGAGCCGGACGAGAGCATCGACGATTCGCTGCCGCCGCTAGCAGCAAACGGATTTCCGACGCTGTCTCCCGGGACGGGTAGCGGCGTGGGGAGGCCAGAGCCAAGGGTGGCACCCAGCGCAAACGAAGCCGAGCGCCTGTTGTGCTTGGAGAGCGCCCGCTTGACCAGCTGAGTGCGGATGGTTGGCGAGCGCGAGCGTGAGCGCGAGCGCCGATGCTTGGCACGGGGCTTTGGTCGCCGTCCGTGCGAGTCTGCCCGCTTTCGGCCCGGCACCGAGCGGTGGCCGCGCGACTTGGACTTGGACTTGCCGCGCCTGCGGTGGTCGCGGATCTTGGCCTTGGCCTTGATGGTGCCTTCGGCCTTGCCCTTGGCCTCGGCCTCGATGGCGCGGAGGAGAAAGTCCTTGTCAACGTTCTTGAGCATGTCGATGAGGTGGTGCACGTCCGACGAGACCGACGAGACTTGCGGCGACGGCGAGGCCACTAACATCGACGGTGTCGATCGCGACGGCGAGAGCGGCGGTATAGCACGGCGGAATCGCGGCGAGTCGCGGGTTGGCGACCGCTGCAGAGGCGTTCGTGGTAGAACCATCTCGACGTATGCCTCATCGCCCGGCGGCGTGACTGCGATCCTCCTGGCCGACCCAAGTTCGCTCCTCGTCCCGTCTGCGGTCGGACTCATAGAGCTGATCGGCGACACCACAGCATCCGCTAGGTTCCCCTTTGGAAGCGCGAGCTTGGGCGGGCCCAGCTTGGGCGTACCACCCACAGGCTTTGGCGACGAGATCGTCGCTCCGGCGAGATTTCCCTTTGGAAGTGCGATCTTGGGCGGGCCCAGCTTGGGCGTGCCACCCACAGGCTTTGGCGACGAGATCGTCGCTCCGGCGAGATTGCCCTTTGGAAGTGCGATCTTGGGCGGGTCCAGCTTGGGCGGGCCCAGCTTGGGCGTACCACCCACAGGCTTTGGCGACGAGATCGTCGCTCCGGCGAGATTGCCCTTTGGAAGTGCGATCTTGGGCGGGTCCAGCTTGGGCGGGCCCAGCTTGGGCGTACCACCCACAGGCTTTGGCGACGAGATCGTCGCTCCGGCGAGATTGCCCTTTGGAAGTGCGATCTTGGGCGGGCCCAGCTTGGGCGGGCCCAGCTTGGGCGTACCACCCACAGGCTTTGGCGACGAGATCGTCGCTCCGGCGAGGTTCCCCGCGGGCATGTGCAGCTTTGGCGGACCAGGCATGAGTGCGGAGCGACGAGCGGACGACAGAGAACGTCCCACCCAGAGACAACACACAGGCAGACACACCGTGTCCCAAGTCTAAAGGTAAATGTCGTATAATGAGTGCGGTGTGAAAGTGCCGGTGCCGATACCGGTGTCGGTATGGCCTGTCCCGTCTCGCCTGTCGCCTGTCCGGGGACGCCACTCACGCCGTTGCCGCAAGTCACTCTGTCCGCCGTCCGGGTTCGGGTCCCCCTCCCCTCCCCTCCACTCCCCGGGACGGATAGCGCCAGCGAGGGCGAGCAAGAGCACCTCACTTGTCGTCATTCTCTCCTGGTATGGCTGTACCGCAGCACCTCCTCGAGGCGGATTTTGACCCTCAGGGGTACGCTCTTGCGGCTGTTGAGGCTTCGTCTGTGGGCGCTACCCTCGCCGAGTTGACGTCGTCGGTGGCGGCGCTGGAGGCAAGGATCGCCAAGCTTGTCACTGACCAGCATACGGCGCTGTTGGACTCGGCTGCCAACGTATCGGCCCTGGATGGTGTTCTGTCTAATGTGGTGGACGGGGTGGCAGGGCTAGCTTCGGCCCTTGCTGCCGTTCGTGCTGCCATCTCGGCGCCTCATGCCGCGGTCGCTACTTCGGCAGCTCAGCTCGAGCGCATGCACACCACTCTGGATCTCTTGCGGGCTGCGGCTGTCTTCTTCTCTACCCTGGACCGCCTGGCTACTGCTGTCGCTGGAGGCATCGATCCGGTCCTGGCCCGGGCTGCCCTGCTCGTCTTTCGCCTTCGGGCCCTCCTTGATGCCCATCCGTTGCTCGCTCAGCTCGACAAGGTCGCGGCCTCGCTCGAGTGGCTGGACGAGACGGCGTGCGCGGTCGATGCTGCGGTGGCGACCGCGCTCGAGGCTGGTCTGGCCTCAGGCAATCTGGCGGCGATTGGCTCTTCGTTGCAGGCGCTGCACAACGCCGGCGAGCTCGCCGGAACTCTCCGTGCCGAGCGGGCTGAGCTGCTCGACGCCGTCTCCCGGACCGTTGTCTCGGGCCTCGATGCGTCGTTGATTATGAACAAGGCCAAGACCCGCGCGGCAGCCGAGCCCGGTACAGCCGGCGAGTCGGGTGCGTCGGTGGTGGCCTGGCGCGCCGTGCTGTGGGAGCGGCTTGACGACGTTGTCACTTCGCTGGCCTCGCTTATTCTTCGCGGGTGGACGCTTGATGTCGTGCTCTCGCTCAAGCGCGATACCCGAAGCCACGAGCCGTTCCTTGCCGTCCTCGACCTTGCACCAGGCGGTTGGTTTGCTGCGCTCTGGACCGACGCACAGGAGAGCGTGCGCGCGGCACTGCTGCGCGCCGCAAGCACTTCAGCGGTGGTAGATGAGGCTTTCCGGGCCGAGTATCCCAAGTTGCTGCGTGCGTTCCACGACCTTGCGCGCAAGCTACAGCTGCAGACCATGCTCATCGGCAAGGAGTCTGGTCCGGCGGCTGCAGTGCCGCAGGTCGAGTTTGAGGCGGTCACTAGCTTGCTCGCCGACTTTGAGGCTGCATACTTGAACCGCGCCCGGGCTCGGCTCGATGGCCCGCTCAGCGCCATCTTCAAGCAGGCGGTCAAGGCGCCACCGACGTCGGAGCAGGTGCGCACTCTGGTTGGTACCATCCAGGGCGAGCTCGAGGTGGCGTCGGTCGAGCTCGGGCTGATGACGCGGGTGGCCAAGGTCGCGGCCGATGTGGTCTCGACCTTTGCCAGCGGGACCGAGGCCATGGTCTCGCGATCGGCGGCGGCGACCAAGGTTGTGCCGGGCGCGCCACTGTCTGCGCCGCAAAAGCGCAACATCAACCTTGTCAATGCTAACGTGGCCTTTCTGGCCGGCCTCGACTCGCTGCTGCGAACGCATCCAGACGAGTTGGCATCAGTCTTTGATCCTGTCGTGCCCGAGCCGGTCTATGTGGTCACGTCGAGCCTCGCACCGCTCCTGGATGCCATCCTCAGCGGCATTGAGCACTGCCTGGCGCAGTTCCATGTCCGCGGCTCGTTCCTGGCGCAAGAGCTCCCGCTGGGCACCGAGGCCGCGCTGGACGACGCGGCCAACCACGGATCGCCGCCGATGCGCGAGCTGCTGGCACTTGTCCGCCACGCAGCGTCTGTCACGCTTGGCAAGTTCCTCAAGTCGGGCATCCTCGCCTCACTTGTATACGAGCTCCGCAACGTAGCCACACTGCTGTACATCGGCTCGTTGTCGATGATTCCGGTTCTCTCAGCGCGTGGCCGACTGCTGGTCGCGTCGGACATGGCGCACTTTGAGTTGGCCATGGACGAGCTTGCGGCGCTGGCGCCGACGTCACTCACAGGTACGCCGTCGCCCAAGCTCCTTCTCGCCTCGTCGCGCTTCCTGGACTTTGAATCGCCGCACGGCCACATGCTCTCCAAGGCTGCGGGCTGGACCCGCGGCGCACACAGCCGCGAGGTCTTCAAAGCCTTCAAAGCCCTCCTCTTTACTGACGAGCTGACGCTCGACTCGATCCAGGCCTCGTCGCTCCCGCTCCGGCTCGCGACCAACCACTGCTTTACTCGGGCGTCAGCCGACCTTGATCCACCGCACCGCATCCGTGTCTGGTCGACGATCGAGGCCACCCGCTGGCTCGTCACCGCCTCGGACGCCGAGTACCTCGAGCTGGCCCAGGCCGCCTGCGACAAGTACGCTCGCTCTGCAACCTCGCTCGGCGCTAAGGAGTTTGTCCCCGAGTACGTCCTCATCACCAAGCTCCTCGCCGGCCCCGCCTCGGCCTCGGCCTCTCCCTAAAACCAGCAGCACACGCCTTTTGCACATGATCTGCACATGATGGACCCAGTGTCGCGTCTTCCTCCGCACCTTTGCCAGCATCACGAGCCTTGTCCCGCTCATCCTCGGCCACAACCTGCAATCTCCACAGCACTGCCATCATCATCGGTAGACCTGCCCACCTCAACTCTTTACCAACCACACGATGTACAGCCACTCACAAACATACGATGCCTTCTACGGCCACATATTCCGGGCCTGTCCCACACTGACCGGCTCGTGACCAAGACTGGTCCGGTGCGCGTCATTTCCGGCAGAACGACATTCGGCGGTATTCGATGCCGTGACCGCCACCAATAGCCGAGCCACCCAACTCGGCGCAAGAGAGCAAGAACAACATGGACGACTACCTTCGTGAAGATACGCTTGACAACAAGACGACGCCGTTCTGGACGCCCCTCAAGACCGTGGGCGCACTCTGGCTTGCCACCCTCGGAGGCACCCTCGCCTATCAGTTCCGCAACAACTCGCTCAAGCTCTCCCAGCGGGTTGTTCAAGCTCGTGTCGGGGCTCAAGCTGTGACTCTTGGCGCTCTCATTGCATCGGCCGTTGTTACTGTCGCCACAGAGTCGGCCGCTGCCTCACCGGCTCGCGGCCCGGTCTTCCCCTCGGAGTCATCCAAGCACTGATGATGCGTGCTGCATTGCTCATCGTCGTCGTTGTCGTCATCGTTGGCATTGTCGGCTTTGTCAGCATTGTCGGCATCGCCGCCCGTCACCACTGACATCATAGTTCAGAGGGAATGTCGCTGTTGCGACTCATGCCCTTGTCTATCCGCCGGCATCCAGCGCTGCGTCGTCCAGCGCTGTGGCGTCGTGCTTGACGGCGTGAGAGACCGCATCGCGGTGGATCATCCACGTGGCGTTGGCCTTGGACCTGGCGACCAAGTCTCCGTTCGGAATATCGTTGGAGAGAGCACGCGCCTCGGCAGCCTGCTCGTCCAGACCGTATGTGCGCCATCGCTGCAGCAGCGCATCGACTAGGATCTCGCGCTGCGCATCGACATAGAGAGAGGCGGTAAAGTTGCGCGCCACGTCTGACCATCCCGGGCCGGCAAGCTCGTCGTCGGCGATGAGGTAGTTGCCCTCGACAATTATGAGGCTCGGCTGCGGCGGCGGAGGAACGACGATTGCGCCAGCGAGCGAGACGTCCGCGGCACGATCAAAGGTGGGAAGTACGACCGGAGGCGAGTCGGGCCCAGCCGTAGCAAGTCTCGTCAGCGTCGACGCTAGGCCATCAACGTCGAACGTCTTGGGTGCGCCCTTGACGCTCCGCCAGCCGCGAGCATCCAGCACGTCGTTGTGGAGATGGAAGCCATCCATGCCGACGGCCATCGCTCCAGGTAGTGCCTCCTCCAGCGCCGCAGCCAGCGTCGACTTGCCCACTCCAGGCGGCCCAGCAATAGCTACCAGTACCCGCTCATCGCTCTCGGCGTACGGCGACAGCGCCGCCACAATGGCATCAAAGTCTTCGAGCAGCGCAGGCGCAGGCGCCGAGCAAGCGGCATCCGTTGCGGCCATGTCGCTGTTTTTGTGAAGGGGGGAACAGAGGGGACAGACGTATGTCGAGAGGTGGCGTGCTGTCCTGTCAGAGCTGGTCGCTGCGGCCATTACCTCTTGCGTGGCACGGCATACTGTGACTGACTAACTGATGATGGTAACCGACTAGATGACAAACCGCTGATGAGCATCATCACTACGACGCCACAGACGCAGGCGTATCGTACGCCGCCACCTTTCGCACCTTGCACCTTGCAGCCGCGAACCTCATCAACGCTCTTTGTGTGCAGGCGCTTCCTCGCGTTCTACTCGCGCCTGGCAACGCTACGAGCGCGCGCCTCGCGCGTCTTGACAGCCTCCAACCAGTCTACCGAGGGGAAGTGCGCCTGTGGGCGTTTCTGGAAGTGGCTTTTGATGATTGAGGTCAACTTGGAACTGTTGAGGCTAATCTGCTTGCCGCAGAGCTTGCAGCAAGGGAGCCTATCTATTCTGATGTTCGACAAGCTCTCCACAGGGCTGAACAACGGGGCATGATGCGTGTGAGAGGAGGTGCCTCTGTCGTGATCACGATTTTTAGTCATGACGTTTAGCTGACTAATTGATGGCTAACCGTTCTGACTACGAATGACTATGACCATCGTCGTGGTGCCGTACACTGGCCCAGAGAGCACTGGACACAGAACACACCACTTGACTCCAAGTGAACCTCAGTCATAGCGCACATCACTATTATGGCTCTCAGTCACGCCCGCAGTTACCCTGGAGAAGGCCTTCGGTTGGGTAGCCTTGCCCTGCCACCGCCACCACTGGCAGCTGATGCCGTGGTCCTCGACCCGTTACAACTGGGACCAGGTGGTGTACCTCTGCCAGCAAAGAAAGTCCGCTATGGTCCAAAGGCGGCAAGGGCTCCGCTTCATGCTCGTGGAACGTATGGATCAGTTCGTGCTGGTGAATGGCATCAGATCGCCGCCCCGCCACGTCGTGTTGCTGTCAAAGAGTACAGCGCTCCCTTCAAGCGAGTGATCTGCGTCACCACTCTTCGTGAGTTGAGCCTGCTACGTGCTCTGGACTCGCCACATGTGGTCTCAGTCGTGAGCCTTTTGGCAGAGCCGTGGCATCTCTTGCATTCGCTCGAAGCCGATCGCCGCTCCATCGCTCTGGTCATGCCTCTGCTCCGATGCTCGCTCAACAACCTCATCGGCTCTCTAGCCGTAGCAGACACCGCTCATATCATCCGATGCTTGGCCAGCGGCCTCGCGTACTGTCATGCTCGCGATGTGCTTCACCGCGACATCAAGCCGGCAAACGTTCTGGTCTCGGCCAGTGGGTGCGTCAAGCTCTGCGACTTTGGCCTCTCGCGAGTCTATTACCCACTGCTGGTGGAGAGCGATGTGAGCTGGGCCCGCCTCACGCCGCGGGTCTGCACCCTCTGGTATCGCCCGCCCGAGCTGCTTCTTGCACGGGCCAGTGCCTACTCGTCGGCTGTCGACGTGTGGGGTCTTGGCCTCATCGGTCTCGAGCTGTTCAAGGCGTCGCCGGTCATCACCGACCACAACGAGCGCATGTTCTCCATCACTCTCTTCAACGTCTTTGGCTGCCCTAGCCCCGTCGAGCACGTGCGGCTCTCGGCGTTGATTGCCACCCATGGCGAAGCCTTCTCTGGTGCCCAGGACGTGCTCGATCGCGCGCTGGATGAGATCGAGGACGAGCACAAGCCGAACCGAGTCGCCCGCTGGATGAGCAGCGACCCGGAGGTGGCCAACGAGACGTGGGCGCCGGCGCTCGACGTGCTCGGCCCGCTGCTCTCGTCGTGTCTGGCCTACGACGACCGTGCGCGTGCGCCGGCCGCCGCAGTGGCTACCATGCCGGCCCTCAGTCAACTGGCTGGCACCGAGGCCGAGGCCCAGGCGCGACTGGCGGCTGTGGTCACTGGGCTTTTGGGCCAGGGCGCGCCGTCGGACCCCCGCTGTCTACAACTGCGACAGGGACCGATGTTGTGGCGCTTGGCACTGCCATCCGGACCACACTCGGTCCGCAGACACGCCCGATCTCGGTCTGTGCCGCGATCAATGCCCTCGGGCTCATCCACCACTCGCGGCTCTTCACCCACCTAGAGTCTACGACCCTGTTCCGGCTCTGTCTCCTCTGCCACGAGCCGCTGTTTGCTCTCCTCGCAGCCTTTAGTAGCAAGCTGCTAGATCTGGACGAGTTTACCGAGTCGCTGATTGCGCTTGCGGCTCTGTACAGCCCAACTTCGCCGCGCTACGCCTCATTGGCCGGCGTTATCCCTGATCTTGCGGGCGCTACGTTGGTGGCGACCGCGGAGCGGCTCTCGTCGAGCCTGCTTGGCCAGGATGACAGATCTCGCGAGCCGGTCTCGGCCACTGTCACCAGCTTTAGGCGCGTGCTTGCGGTCATCGCTGCCTTTCTCCGCCTCCGCGCCGACAGCGCGTACAAGGTGCCTGCCTTGGCCACCGCCGCCGTCCTCGTGGCTTGCCAGCTGTACAGCGTCTCTGCTTCAATCAAGGCCATCAAGCTGTTTCTGTCGCGGATGCTGGAGCCGCTGGGAGCCCTGGTCCCAACTTCGAATGAGATCGGCGACGCCCAGTTTGCGCTGCTCTACGCCACGTCGTTCACTGCCCAGATGACCGGTGACCTCGCCGCGCTCACGACGCCGGCGCCGTCGCCGGACGAGGCGGAGGTCATCGACGCCATTTTCCTTTTTTCCAATCTTCCACTGCTCTACACGCCTGCCGTCATCCGCCGTGCGACTCGAGCGTATCTCACCCGCAACGCATCCAATCCTGCGGCCACCTCTGTGCTCAACGCGCACACCATTGCTGCCATCGACAGCGCCTGCGCTCTTTACCATCAGGTCCTTTCCCCCAATCCACCATCCAGCTCGAGAGCAACATGTCCATGACCGATATATATATATATATATATATATATCTCCTCCCCCCTCCCCCCTCTGCTTCCTTACAACCGGCAACAAAGACCTCCATGCCCGCGTTTAGTGCCGTTGATCGGCCGACCGATGCGACCGACCGACCGACCGACTGACCGACCGACCGACCGACCGACCGGCGGCTGAGCAGACGGCACCCGACTCTGCCCGAGGCACCATGGCTACGGCACGCAAGTTTGGACGGCTCATTGGACCTCGTCAGGCCATGATCCGCAACCTCATCACAGACCTTGTTCTCAACGACCGTATCAAGACAACTGCCGCCAAGGGTACGTATATCCACCAGGAGTGGGCTGGGTGTTGGGGAGGAGGGGGGTGGGCGGGATGGGAGGGAGAGGGGCTTCCGAGTGCGACTGACGCGACGTGAGCTGGTGGTATGTATGGGCATGTATGGGCATGTATGGGCATGTATGTGTGTGTGTGTGTGTTTGTGTGCGGATACAGCACATACGCTGAAGCGGTATGCCGACAAGATGGTGTCTCTGGCAAAGAAGGATACTGTTGTGGCGCGTAAGCAGGCGCTCCGTGTCCTGCAGTCGCGTGAGGCCATGCACAAGCTGTTTGGTATCACCGCCCCGAGGCTCCGTGACCGACAGGGTGGCTACACGAGGGTGGTCAAGGCAGAGCGCCGGTTGAAGGATGCTGCGCCCATGGTCTTTATCGAGCTCATGGACATGCCTGGTCCCTTTATCCCGTATCCTACCTCGGGCGTCAAGGCTCGCCGTCGCGCAGAGTCCAAGGCCGAGGCTGCTCGCATCCGCCGTCGTCTCCAGGAGGACGCTGCTGCTGCTGCTGGCGCCTCTTCTCCCTAGTCAACCCACCGATGGATGACCTGCTTGCCAGCGTCTGCATCGTTGTCATCGTCGTCGTCATTGTTGGGAAGGGAAACGTGGAGGAAATACATCTCTGTGGGATCGCCCCGTGAAGCAGCTGATCTGGGCAGAATGGGGGAGGGGGCACGGTACACCACGTATGTGCAGAGAGCGAGAGCAGAGAGGGAGGGAGAGAGAAAGAGAAAGAGAAAGAGAAAGAGCCGGCGATGTTGTCTCACCGTGCTCGTTGCCACCCTTCAGTTTCTCCTGGTCGAGGCATATCAGTCGAACAATCGAATCGAATGATAGTTGTTGTCAAGATAGCTGGATTTGGATTGATGCGCTCCCGGTTCCCTCCTCCGGGGGGAACGCCCCCCCCCCCCCCTCCCCCCCTCCCACTACCACCACCATCATCATTCATGCATGCTCCAACCACGTGATAGAGTTCGCTGATTGACAGTCATTGCCTGTCTCTGGTGGTGGAGCCAAGCGTTTGCCGCCGTATCTGCCCAACTCGAAGAGCGGCGATGAGCGATGATGTTGAAGCGACCGAGGGTATCCAAGCGATGATCATATAACACATACACAGAGATAGAGATAATGATCAGATATTTGATGCAAACGTAGTAATTATGTTTCTAGCCAAACTACCCCCGTCCCAAACTCCCTCGCAGCCTCTCATCGATGACCGTGGTAGAAGTAGACCTCACGCTGTTTCAACGGGTTCGGCGGTAGCATGGATTTGACACCGACCTCCACCACCACCACCCTTTGTCCACTCGACGAGCAAGACAAGGGTTTACCCACCACCACCACCCTTCCCTCCTGCACCACTCCATACTTCTCTCACTCCCCCCCCCCTCCCCTCCCTACACCCCCCTCCCCCACCCACCCTCCCTCCCCACCCCTTCCTGCCTCTATTGGCACCACCCCAATATTCCATATCCCCAGACCGGTCCCTCGGTCTGTTGGTTGGTTCTTTGGAACAAAGAGGAGAGCCACCTACTCCCCCTCCCTCCCTGCTCCTCCCCCTCCACCCGTCCACCCCTCCCCCCCGCCTTCTTCCCTCATCCACCCCACACCCGCAACCGCACCTCTGTACCCACACCTATAACCAACCTATCCACCCCACCTACTTAGTGGTACTTGGAGGTGGTTAACCGTACTGTGGTGTGTGGTGTGTGTGTGTGTGTGTGTGTGTGTGTGTGTGTGTGTGTGTGGTGTAGGAGGTACGGG